AAACCAGAGGTTGACCGTCAATCATTGGGATCACCGGCCCAATCGGCATCACTATACGCGTGCAGAGAGAAGGGACCAGATTGGAAATTAATGCCATAATGAATTGTACCACTGAGATATCGAAGAATGCGCTTGACAGCAACAACATGAGAAGTCATAGGCTGATGCATAAACTGACAACACTGATTAACAGCAAACGCAATATCAGGACGAGTAAAAGTCAAATATTGCAGAGCACCAACTATACTGCGATATTGATCCGGACTGTGATATGGATCACCATCATCCTTTAAGAGCCGATGAGACGGAAGACAAGGTGTAGCACAAGGTTTGGAGTTACTCATGTCCACTCGAGCTAACAATTCTCGGACATATTTCTGCTGAGAAACAAATAAACCAGTTGAATGATAAGAAATCTGCAAGCCCAGAAAATAGTGTAGCTGTCCCAAATCTTTCATATCAAAAGCCTTGGTTAACGCCAAGATTACGATTTCAATATCAGATGAACTACTACCAGTAATGATGATGTCATCTACATAAAGTAACAAGACCACAATCCCAAGAGAAGTGTGTTTAACAAACAAAGAAGGATCAGCAAGGGAAGCCTGAAATCCCAATCCTGGTAAGAAACTAGTAAACTTGTCATTCCAGGCTCTTGGGGCCTGTTTAAGACCATACAAGGATTTATGAAGCTTGTAGACAAAATGAGAAGGATGATGAGGACTCCCAAAACCAGGAGGCTGGGACATATACATTTCCTCATGGAGATCACCATGTAAAAAGGCATTTTTGACATCAAGCTGCCTTAAAGACCATCGAAATTGAGCTGCAAGTGCTAAGATAAGGCGGACAGTAGTTGGCTTGACTACAGGACTGAAGGTCTCACCATAATCAATGCCCTCCTCTTGATTATACCCCTTAGCAACTAGCCGAGCCTTATATCGGGCTATAGACCCATCTGGATTCTTCTTGACCCGATACACCCATTTACAACCAACCAAGTTCTTCCCAGATGGAAGAGGAACCAAATCCCAAGTATGTTGAGCATGTAAGGCATCAATTTCATCCTGCATAGCAGACTGCCACTCCACAATCTTACTCGCAGCTTTGAAGGTTGAGGGTTCAACATCTGATTGCCCAACAGATGATATAGATGCCACAAAGGCTTTCTTCTTAATAATGCCACTTTTAGACCGAGTTTGCATGGGATGTAAACTCACAGAATGCACGGGAAGAACAATTGTGAGATTTTCTGGTTGAAAATCAGGATCAGCAGGGACTGGAGACTGTGTAGAGGGTGAAGATGCAGGTACAGTAGGTGATAGAGAAGTCAAAGACTCTGAAGCATGATATATAGGGTCAGGGAGAGGGGGAGATGATGAAGAAAACTCTGGAACTCGAATTGGGGAGGCCAAGAACTCAGAGGCACTAGTGGGTTCATGAAGGAACTCTGAAGCTCTAGTGGGTTGAGACAATGGTAAAGATGCATGAGATGCAGATGTGTGAGGAGAAACAACAACATTTTGACCTGTGACCAGTGGTGTAATAGATGGTGGGGTGACAAACACAGGAGAACACTGTGAAGGTTTGACAAGTAAGTGTTTGTAGGGAAAATTAGTTTCATAAAAAACAACATGTCTAGAGACATAAAACCGCCCTGAGAGAGGATTAAAACAAATATACCCTTTGTATTGACCTGCATAACCAAGAAATATACATTGAACTGTTTTGGGTTGAAGTTTGTTGGTATTGTAAGGCTTGAGCAAGGGATAACAACTATACCCGAAAACTTTCAAATGTGTCAAAGCAGAAGGTTGAGCAAAAAGACAAGTATAAGGAGACTTCATAGACAACGTGGAACAAGGCATTCGGTTAATCAAATAAACAGAAATGGCACATGCATGAAACCAGAACTGTGGAGGTAATTGGGCAGTGCTTAATAAAGTCAATGCAGTTTCAACGATGTGCATGTGCTTTCGTTCAGCAAGGCCATTCTGTTCAGGTGTATGAGGACAAGACTTATGATGAATAATGCCTTTATCTAACAAAAATTGCTGAAAACGAGTACTACAATACTCACCACCACCATCACTTTGAAAGGTTTTAACCGAGGTAGAAAACTGGGTGGATATAAAAGCATGAAAATGCACAAAGACTTGAAACACCTCACTTTTATTTCTTAAAGGAAATATCCAGGTAAACCTGGTACATTCATCAATGAAAAGTACATAAAACTTGTATCCCTCAACGGACATAGTAGGTGATGGTCCCCACACATCACTATGCAAAACCTCAAAGGGTTTAACTGACTTATGGGCAGGAAAAGAAAAAGGTAGCTTAGTACATTTGCCTTCTAAACAGGAAATACACACATGTTTAGAGGGATCAACAGAAAATGAGATTTGTGACTGATTCAACATTGTTGAAACCACAGCATTGGACGGATGCCCCAATCTGTTGTGCCACAAACTTGTGTTGATGTGATGACCAAGAAAACAGGTTTGATTATTTGTGAGAGAGTGAGATGTATGAGATGCTTTAGGAAGTATATGCTGAGGTATATGAAATGGAATCGGGTACAAGCCATCCCTACACAGTCCCTGCAGCAGTATTGTCCCTGTGATCTTGTCCTGAATCCAAAAACAGAATTCATCACAGATAAATCTACAATTGTTGTCTTTGCACAACTTATACATAGAGAGCAAGTGCTGTGAGATTTGAGGAACATGCAATATGTCTTTTAACTGAAAAGCATACTGTGGAACATGTAAGAATGAACTGCCAGTATGAGATATTGGCAAACCTGAACCACTAGCAGTGGTTATAGTATCAGCACCAAGGAATGGAGTAGCCTGGGTGAGGTTGGTCAAATCAGAGGTCATATGAGAGGTAGCACCCGTGTCAGCCACCCAAAATTGGTCGAGTGGTGCAGAAGGTTGATAGTTGGCATGCATAACAGTTAAGGTAGAAGGTGGTGATCGGCCTTGATAGGAGAAGTTAGCCCTGTGATAGCACTGCAATGCAGAATGGCCAAATTTCCAGCAAATTTGACATTGGAGAGAGAAAGATGGCCTATTTGTGGAAGAATGCCGCTGGAAGCAATCAGAAGCAACGTGACCTCTTTTATTACATATCTGACATGTAGGTACACCATTGCCATGGTCAGAACAAGTGGAGATGTGAGGGCGAGCAGGGCCAAGAATCCCGGGGCTGTTATTTCCAGAGAATCGAAAATTGGAACTGGAGTTGTTTCTGCCCCTAGCACGGCCTCTATTATTATGGAAGCCCCGGAAACCTCCAGAAGGATAAGGAGGACCATTAGAATTGTAAGAGCCGGAAGAAGCCCCTTGATTAGAAGAACTGCCATGATATGGGCCTGAATGAGGTGGAGAGAATCCTTTGCTGTGGGAAGAACCTTCTTCAAGCATAAGACCTTTGCCCTTTGACTCATTACCCTGAGCAAGCATGGCAGTGGTAAAGGAACCAGAAAACTGATTATTCTCAATTGTAGCTTCTTCAGCCAGTAGCTGAGCGCGGAAATCTTTAAGGGAAATCACATTTTCACGCCCTCGAATTACTGTCCTGAAAGTATTATATTCAGAAGGTAAACCTTTTAAAGCCAGAATGACTATGTCATCATCATCAAAAGAAACTCCAGCTGCTGACAAATGATCACGAACATCCTTAATACGTTGAAAGTACTTGGAAATAGATTCGGAGCCTTTTTGAATGTTTTGTAACTCAAGCTTCATCTGAAAGATACTGGCTTTTGTGACAGTAGAAAATCGATCTCTCAGGTTGATCCAGATCTCATGAGCACTAGTACAGCCAATGATACAAGACATAGCAGTAGGAGAAAGAGTATCAATTATAAGTTGCATCAAAGCACGATCATGTAATTTCCAGATCTGATAGTTCTCGGTTTCAACTCCTTCTTTATCAGGTTCATCCACAAACCGAGAAGGACATAATTTGGAGCCATCCACAAAACCAAGAATACCATGGCTCTCGAGCAACAACCGTAATTGATAATGCCAAACTAAGTAGTTCGTATCATCAAGCTTCACAGTAACAGAAGTAGAAACATTTGGCACAAGATTTGTAATTGGAGACTGGACGAGTTGTAAGTGTGCAGCAGTAATCATATTTTCTTGAATCTCGTGAAGAAATTAGGATTGGAGAGACTTGTTCGTGACGAAATTAACACAGAACAACAATGCAAAGGCCAAACTTATGTAGATAGCAGTGGAAAAAGGATTATGTCTTCACACGCATTTCATCAAACACAACTTATGCAAGAAGTCGAAATATCTGCCAGAGGAAGAAGAAGCTCAATAAAAGAAGACCGAGAGAAATTTCATACCACAACCAGAATCACAGAGAATCGCGGAAGCAGAAGAAGTCAGGAACGAAGGAAATGCCCCATCACTGGCGAGGATACCATGTAGAAATATCAAGAACACAGCTTCAAGCTTATCAATGGTAATCAAGTATTCAAGAAGATGAAAAGACAGAGAGAGAAAAGGAGACAAAGTGAGAGAATTTCTAATATATTTCTTGACTGTATTGTTATCTTAATACAAGCCTATTATCTCCTTTTATACTAGTTACATTACTTACTCCCTAAGCAACCAATTTCTTAACAAACTAACAACTATACTGCCTAATCTATTTACACATGGCAGTATCTTAACCCTTATCATCCTTACATGTTGATGGATGAAGCAAAATACCTTCCTTACTATACGTACCTGGGTAAAATTGCTCCTTCTTCCTGCCGTTAAATCCTGCCGGCCGTTAGAGGAAAATTGCCATGAAAATTTGGGATGTTGAGATATTCTATAACTTCTCACTTTTTTTCCATGAAAAAAAATATCACATTGAAATTTGTACAGATAAATCCATAACTGTACGCACAACTAAAAAGTGGTGTGCAAATTAATTAATAAAAATGTAGAATTTATGATCTCTCAAATGTTTGATAAAATTAACAAATAAACTTAGGGATCATGACCAAGTCGAAGCTCCAAATCCAATTCATCGTCCGTTTCTTCAAGGCCACCATTAATCACTCTCTCCTTGTAATCATCCGATGGCTGGCCCATTCCCAAGCTCAAACTACTCCCTGATCTCCAATCCCGATGATCATCTCTTAGCAGATTCCGGTGCCTGGGAATATAATTTCTTGCACACAAGTCCTCATCACTAATATGATTTGCATGTGGGGGCCTTAACACCCCTGGCCGGTAGCTTTGAATTGCACGGTATAATGCTGCCCTCGGATGATTCTGATCTTCTACTGCCGTGCTAATCGACGAAGCCAAACTTGTAGGAATTGAACTAGGTCTGGTCTTGGCTCTCTCTTTCCGGTGAATATTCATGTGTCCTCCCAAGGCCTGCGCCGTTGTGAAACCTCTCTTGCAAAATACACACTCGTACGACCGCCCTGTGCCCATGTCATCGTTCGCATGCGGTTGATGATCAGCCTCTTCATCAGTACTGGAGGTCTTTGAATCTTGATGATCCTGATGGTTGGACTTCATACTTCAAAACAAAACTTCAAGTTTTAGTTTTCTAGGATATATGATGGTAATATGAAATATCGGAAATTACGGTTTGTAATTATAGAGAGGAGGTGTTGGTGAAGGCGGGGGACAGGAGACAAGCACAAGGCATAGGTATTGTCATACAAGAGGGTTGGGAACTTTCTTAGAACTTTGCTCAGAGAATTTTCTGTTAAGCCGGCCGAAACTGGATTCTTCTTGTTTACTTTTCTTATTTAATATCTATTTCCTTATCCTCATTTGTCTCCCCATGTAACTAGAGAGCGGTATTTCTTTGTCATATCTTTTTATTATACCGTCATTGTAATTTTTTAAGTGTAATTGTCACACAGTCACGATCAGATAATGTTATCAAAATATCTCACAACGACCTTATTTTCTAGAAAATAAAACTTTAAATATCTTAACCTTACTCCAACTAATATCGAGACCTTTTGTATTAAAACTCACACGTGACAAATTGTGCGCAAGTGGTAATTATCAAGTTGGGAACAATATGAGTGTTGCTAGAAGTGGGACTTTGGCTCGTCTCTTCTGATAATTTAACATGGTATCAGAGGCAGAGAACGGGCCCGTACTGCCATGTAATCGGTGGATCCCCTTGGCCCCACGCGATGATGGTGGATCCCTTGGCTCCACATGGTTGCCGATGTGTAAATCTCCTATGTGATGTGTGGCCCACTAATTGGGTCCCACGTGAGGGAGCATGTCAAAATATCTCACATCGACAGTAGCTCTAAGAAAAGAAGAGTTTAAATATCATAACCTCACTTCAACTAATATTGATGTTGTGCAAATAACAATTACCAAGTTGAGGATAATATCGGTGTTGTTGGAAATGGGCATTTAGCATGTCTCTTTGATAATTTGACATGTTTCCTATTTTATTTTATTTACTTAAAAATAGATTATTGCATACGTAGGTCTTGGGTGACCTACACTTGATAGCTCTGAAGTATCTAACCTATAAGGGTGCGTTTGTTGCACCGGACTATCTCGGACTGGACTAACTTCAGGGACTAAGCTGGACTGGATTGGCTTAGACTAAGCAGGACTAAAAATAGTGAAGTGTTTGGTATGGCGCCGGACTAATAAGGCAGACATGAAAAAATATTAAATTTATATTATAAAATGTTATTTTGTAGTTATTTTAAATTTAAAAAACCTAATTAAATTGCTTCTCTATTCCCTATCCAAGAAGGACCCAGATGCTTCGTCTACCAATTCAATTACCAGCAATTTTTTTTAATTTCCTATCGCAGCAACTCTCCAACACCAACAATAAAGAAATACCCAGATGTTCTATCCCAATTCAATTGTTTATCTATTAAAGCGATTCAATTGCTTCCTTACCGCAGCAACTCACTAGTCTGCGACAACAGATTTTCGAAGACCCAATCGACCTAGAAATAACCAGGCCCGAAAGAGAGAGACCCAGAAATACCCAGTTTTGTAAGCTGCCACACACCCAGCACCATCAACAACGCTTCCCAGAAGAAAAAAAATGGCATTGTAACCGCCGTTTCCCATCGGCGGAGGAAAGGCTGCACCGCAAGAGTGGTGGGAATCAATTTTGGGGGCTGTAGAGGAATGGCTGCATCACATGGATTTGTGACGAGAGAGAGAGACACATGCGGAGAAAGGGTGGGCTGAGGTCGTCGGTTCGTTTCTTTGTTAGTCCTGCTTAATACCAAGTGAAACGGTGGGACTAGATATTGAGGTTTAGTGAAGTGCGGGGCGCCTCGTAGTCGAGGCGAGTCCCATTAACTCTAATCCAAGACCATGTCAAACATGGGACTGTAGTCCAGTCCCTCCTAAGGAGGTGAAACAAACGCCCCCTAAACTTATGTTGTTAGAAGAGGGAGGGGGGGGGGGTAAGAACCAATCAGCCAATAAGTACGTGTCATTTTGTGTGTTCAAATAATATTATTGTATAAGTAATAAGGAAATATAGGTAAAAGTCAATATAATCTTAGTAATTAGAAATATATCAAGAGTTAATTTTGATTTTGGGCAAGGTCAATGGGCCTTGCTATTAATTAGTATAGGTTAATGCAAAATGTCATATGGGTTTTCATGCCCTTGTGAATAGTTAAAATATGACTCTTTCACTCTTAATGATCTGACTGAGACTTGAAAATTGAAACTTGACGTGCTAGCTCGTCCTTGAAGCTCAAATCATAAACTACATAATACATTGCAGTTTCTATCCTGCAGTTACGTGAATTCAGACTATGTGTTGCAGTTTATGTTTTATTATAGTCGAATAGTCCAATATATATTGAATTTTAGTACGATGATTGTGGAATTGTTATATAAATAAATTGAGTGAAATTTGGTGTTCTAGTACATTAATCTAGATTTTGAATTTTATTACCTTTTTATGCTTTTAGTTTCAGGTTGGTTAATTAGGGATTAACAAAGTTAGTTAGTTTGGGTTTTAAAATGTTTTTTTTGTTTTTTGTGGTGAAACTTATGACTATTGGTTGACAGGCAAGTTAAATACGAAAAAGATATAAAGTAAGATTTTCTATTTCTATACACAAGGAAGGTGATAAATTAGTCATTGTAAAACATGCTTCTATACACAAGTGCATACTATATTAGTAACGAAAGTTGAGGTTTCACCGTAAAACCAATTAGCAATATAGGGAGTATCAAACTTACTTATAATCTCATGCAAAGCCTCTCTTTTCACCAATGTGGGATTCATTCTCAACACGCTCCTTTACATGTGAGAAATTTCTAAGCTTAACACGTGGACAACACAACGGAGTGACGTGGAACATATGCGGCCATTGAGCTTCACATGCAGGATAACCTGCTCTATTACCATGAAAAAAATTGAGGTTTCACCATAAAATCAATTGGCAATATGGAGAGTAACCCAACCTCTTGCAATGTTTCTCCTTTCACCAATGTAGGACTCATCATTTACCTTCACATTCTCATAGGATCCCTCACGTGTGGTGGATTTTCAAGCCAAACAAGTGAATAACATGAATTGGGTGACGTGGAGTATGTGTGCCATTGGGCTTCACACGCGAGCCAACCTGGCTCTGATATCATGAAGAAAGTTAAGGTTCCACTAAAACCAATTAGCAATATGTAGAGTAACTCAACTTACTTATAAGCCCATGCAAGATCCCTCCTCTCATCAATGTGAGATTCATTCCTAACAATTACTACTATATATTATTTATGGTTAATTTGCACATTTTCAAAACAACTTTAATTTTCAAAATATATAGAAACAAACCCTTTTAGATTAATGCACCTGATGATTGTATACACACACATAAATTAGAAACTTTTAGTTCAAAAGAAACTTTTACCATTTGAGACCAATTAAGACGTAGCCAAGTTTGAACAATGCCACAAATTAAAAGATGACATGCAGATACAAAAACAAATTAAAAAAATCGTACATGACTTTCTAACACCTTTACTCCATATTTTTGTCAAACAATAAATTTTGTTAGATTAGATTTTAGATTAGTCATCGACGGAATTTGAACTCACTCCGAAATACAAGAGTTCAACTCATTTCCACCACTATGATAAATGACCACTTACAACACCTTTTACTCCATTAGGTGATAAAGAATTGTACAGAAACAGTATTTCATGCTGAACTTATCGACGTTGCTTATCGCAATCGGCAGGAAAGGTGTAGGAAATTCCTCTACATGATATATAATAAGTAATAAACCTCGCATTTTGGAGCTTACAGTTATACGTAAGTGTAACATTTTACACCATTGTTGACCCTAGAAACTACAAAGCCTACGTGGCGCGCAGGCCGAGTAATCTATAAGCTAACTACGTCCTTCGATGATTGCGGGGCGTGCCAACTCGTCGGCCGAGCTCGGCCGAGGAGTAAATTTTTTGATGTTGCGTTGGGTGCGCGGCTGACTTCTGCATCTTACGATTGCGGCCGAGGAAGGAACACGTCTCGGCCTCTTGGGCTCTCGAACCTGAAGACAAGGCTACTATTTTTACGAAGTTCAATATCAAATTCGGCTTTCAACGTGCCGAATGTAATAACTTGTAACACCTCACTTCGCCAAGAAGGCTGATGAGATGACCTCGACCAATAAGGATTCAGAAATCCTTCTCGACCGAGACTTGGATAGGTAATCAATCGTTCTCGCCGCAGTGCTGTTGATGCCAACGGAAGATACTACGAGACCGACTGATTCTACGGTGATAGAGCTATCTATGCCGACTTAAGATATCACCGGTTGCTTCCACAGTGCTGTTGATGCCAACGGAAGATGTGTCAGCGAAAAAGAAAAAGAAAAATCACAAGTTGTGAGAATTTGCGCAGGGCAATTTTGTATTGATTTGTAGGGGGCTTTTCTAACGCACAGCTTCCCCTATTTATAGCACTGGATCCTGAATCCGAGTTAAAATCCTACTCGGACTAGGTCTTCCTCTCCGGATCAACACCACCTCGACCAGTCCTACCTTCACTAGGACTATGAATCTAGTCCTTAACTGAGCCGGATTCGCTTTCTGAATTACTGATCCCGTCGAGACTCTCTATTGTACTAGGACTCAACTTGCGTTCTGATCAAACTGACCTAGGCTTGGAAGCCCACGAGCTGAACGATCCATGGCCCTTTTGCCGCACGGCCTCTCGGGCCGAGAATGTTCCTACCCTCGGCCCAAACTATTATTTTGGGCCCAAACATTGCCCCCCCTCGCTTCTGCGGTCCTCGGCCTGAATTCTTCAGCCGAGTTTCGGCCTTGAAGAAGCGAATCTGTCACTTATAACCCTAATGCCCGAGTTCCAAGGCACATTTATTGAACATGATTGCACGATCTTGATCCTGCTAACCAAACTCGCCACGTGACGTCCTCCAACACGGCCACTCCCTAATAATGACGTCTAAGGCGTGCGGTTGCCTGAACCGTCTCGCCATTATAACCTTATGGCTGAACTTAACCACTACCTCAATCCGCGAGCCACTACC